AAAGAGGAGACGAAAGCAGACGACAGAACATTGCTAGAGAGTAGGAAAGGAGGTGAAAGGAGACAAATTTAGAGAAGAAAATTTTTTGGTCGCTACCGGATTCGAACCCGGGACCTTTGAATGAGAGGTGAACACCTTAACCTCTAGGCCAAGAGAGCCCCCAATCGGACATTGGAGGAACTAACAATAACGACAGTAGGTGAATGGATTAATTATGACGGCACGTCCACAGTGTCAGGGGCCAATGATATTATACTAATGACAAACCATCGAACGAAGAGAGATTTGCGTGACCGTTCTTAGACATGTTTTGTTCTTTGTTGGTCGATAAAATAATGAATACGGTGGCCACGGCTGCGTTTGACAGGTGACCTTTTTTACAGTGAAAAAATAAATAAAATAAATTTTTAAAAAATAAATTTTTAAAAAATAATAAAATATATATATATATTAATTAAACGTCAGGGGGGAGAGGGCGCGAATATTATTATATATAATTACATTTTGATATATTGGCCCTGGATCATGGAAATGTTGTTTTCTTGGGAAAAATAGAAGAAGATATTATATAGATGGCAAAAGAGAAAGAAGTAGAGAATAAACAACCGTCTTATTAAGGAATTTGAGCTGAAGCAAGCAAGACGAGAAAAGACCAGAATAATAATGTTCCTAGATGTATAATGACTGAGAGCATCGCTGATCAGACAAAATTAAATGGTGAACCTGAACTATAAACTGACACTTGAAGAATAATTAAGAAGTGGCGTCACGGTATTATCTTTCTATTTTAGTGCATAGTTTGGTTGTAGAAAATATGTTTGGTCATTGTTATGTTCAAAGTAATTTCACAGACAATTCTTATTATATATAATATAGCCAACACTCTCTTGCAACAGTAGCGTGTATAATGCAGTTGCCAGCACCGTAAAACTCTTATTAACTATATCCGTACGCCCTGGGGTCATTTTGTACCCCCCAGGGTTGTATTCTTCACATTTTATAATACTTCTAGTACGAAGCTCTCTTTGAGACTCATAGTATTTCTCAAAAAATCATTTTGACAGACTGCTATGCAAAGCGAACGTATCGGATTAACGAGTAAATTTTCACTTTGAAAAGGGGGAGCACTGATTTGAGTTCGCCACATAGTATGGATACAATAGTAGAACACGACATACGGATAGGGTTAAACAAACAAACAGTAATATTATTATTATAATTATGATTACAGAATTGTGGGCTACAAACAAGTTGAACTACGAAAATGGCGTCGATTTTCTTTGACCCGGAAGATAGAATCTATTCTGACCTTTGCAAATTTCATTGAGAGAATCGTTGACTTGCAAGACCTGTGTTTGACTTTTGATGTTCTGTTGCCTTTAATGTAAGTTTTATTCGATTTTTGAAACTTTCAACGTTTCACATAATTTAGATCTAGATCTAGATCTAGTCTAGTCCCGTGTGTTTCATTTCTGTCTTATTGAACTTCATTCAGTCTCGGTGTATGTATGGTATTTTGTCGTGCCATAATTTGATGCCAAGGATTCTCCTTGATAGAGGAAAAGAGACAGAGGCGTTTCATGCGGGATCTCTTGTCTTTTTAAATCTAGATTGGTCCTAAGCCATGCCATGCCAAGAAGCATTATAATAATTATTGGCCTTTAATGGCTGAATAAAATATCAGACACTGAGACTCGGAAGTTTTTGCAAGGGCAAATGCCAAGAATCTGTTTTCTCAGCCCCCTACTAAGACCCTTTACTAAGTGGCCTAGAGTCCTAGAGGCCTAAGCTACGTACAGCGAGCACCTAGCACACCAAGCCTGTGATTGGCCGAAATATAGATCTAATCTAGATCTAGATGTCGTATTTCCACCATCTATTTTTGTCGTCTACAGAGGCTTCCCTCGCCAGTTGACTTGATCTCACCCTGTACTGTGTGTGTGCTCGCATATGTGTGTTTGTGGGCATGTGTGTGTCAGTCAAGTCAGTGTGTGTGCGCACGCGCTTGTTAGTGTGTGTTTGGATGTACAACTTTGAGAAGGTAAATTTAGGCCTGTGGAACGAGAATTGCTGAGATTGTTTATAAAAGATTATAACACAAATTAATTAATACAAAAAACAAAAAACATGGTGAGATAGTCAGCTGGACTGGCGAGGGAAACTCAAGGGTCTTGGGGGAAACCCCAAAAGACAACAAAAATAGATGTCGGAAATATGTCATCTATATTTGGGCCAGTCACAGAGGTGTGGTAGGTGCTCGATAGCTTCATGTGTAAAAAAAGACATCAACTTCGCTTGGTTTCAGAGGTGAAATTAGCGAGAAAATGGCCGTCAAAGTTTGATAATTTTAATAGCTTGAGAGTCCTTGGAAACTGAAAATTGACTTTTTTTTTGGTGCTTTTAATCAATGCTTTTCTGTAGAATCCACACATAATGTGTTTTCAAATGGATATAAAAGATGTTGAGCCAAAAAAAGAATTAGAAAAAAATTGCCCAATAGTCAGAAAAATTCCAAATTTTTTTATTTCAATATTTTGACGAGCGCATGATCTCACCACGATGCCTCACATATTTTAAAACTTCCAACAAAAGCAGTGTATGGGCTTTAATATTTAATGTCTACAAAAAATTGCAGTGTTGGCAAGGTCTGAGGAGTAGAGGACTTCGGTACTTCTTGTGCCAGAGGGAAGTGAAGGCTAAAAATCAGCCCGCACTGTGAGGGATAATTGTGTTAAGTAAGTCAACAAAGTGAACCCTGACCAGGTCTTCCCCTGCCCTGTTTTCTTCTTCCCTCTCCTTCTACTCCTCCTCCTCCCCCTTCTCCTCCTCTTCTTCCCCCTCCTCCTCATCCTCCTCCTCCTTCCCCTTCTTCTCCTCCTCTTCCCCCTTCTCCTCCTCCTCCTCCCCCTTCTCCTCCTCCTCCCTATTCAGCTCCTCCCTTTTTTTTTTCAGGTGAAGAAGCATGCTACGATTCCGACACCGCATGCGTCCCCGCCAGATGCAGATTCGTCCGGCCGGAGGACCCGAGGCCAGACTGCTGCGACTGCGACAGATTGTATCCGGCTTGATCCGCTACGAGAGGATCGAGCCGACGTGGACGCAGGCAGATGAGGCCAGGCAGTATGCAGAAAGGGTATGCAGTTTACGAAAGCCTCTTAAAAAAGATGGCGTGGTGTGGTCGTCAGCTGATCAAGTGCTATCTCAGCACTAACATGAACAAACTAACTAGATCTTTTGCCGTATATAGGCTGGTAGCCTTTTGCCACTTCGATGAAGTGAGGAAAATTTGTGTAAAGTGCCTTTTCAAAAGACAACAACAGGCCTCTTGCAGGGTTCGAATGGATGACCCTTCAGTTAGGAGCTGGACAGCCTAACCTTTAGGTCTTTAATTAATGTCACCTGTTGAGGGTTAGAGAGTTTTAGGGTTGTTTTGTCTTTGGGGTTGGAGGCATCATTGGTCTTGGTGATTAATTCCTGTTGCTGTGGCTGGTGCAGCTGACTAGCGCATCAGTTTTTGTTCTTTTGCTGGGGACACTGACTTATGCGCCCTACATAATTTAGCAAAATTTGATCATTTTTACATAATTTCTTATTATTTTCCTTTAACATTCTTTGTTAACATTAAAAGAATCTAATAATTTCACATTTTTGGGCTCAGTTTGCATAATTTCAGATTATTATTTTTTTGCATAAAACCACGGGGACAGCACTGTGCATCCTTCTCAGCGAGCGTTGGCCCTGAGAAGCAGAGGGCTGAAGCAGCTCCAGCTCCTAAATAATATAAGATGAGATACATCTTTATTGTCCGGATCCTGGCACATTGGTTTGGTGTTTCACCACGTGCACACACACACACACACACACATGCACAAACATGCACACATACGCAGGCTTACAATCACATGCCTAATATAAATGAGCAGCAATATAACAATAATAATCTTAAGCTAGATACATACTCAATGTTATTCTGATGTGTGCTCTAAGGTCATATGAATACTTATACAAGATGGTATAATTCAGTTGATGAGGATGCCAACCACTTGTTGTAAATGGTTGGCGGGTGCTCTGGTGTGGTTTGCTCCTTCTTTCCTACCAAACGCCTATTGTGCTTATCTCTCCTCCTTCTTTTTTGTGTTTGTTACTCTCTGGAAACTACACCTTTTATCTTGTGCACTTATTTTACTTTATTTTGTGTATTTCAAGTGCTGTAAAACGCTCACTAAACGCTCACTAAACTCTCTTGTAACACCTCTAATCTCCAACACTTAAGTTATGACCTTATTGTGTTGCTTGGGCCATGAAACTTTTTGTAAAATGAAAAATAGCGAACCTGTTTTTAATTTTTCTTTAAAATATTTCCATTGGCAGTTAATCCACCTGGCGGTGAGGAATGGTGACCAACACAAACCCACCATGGAACTTGCAGACTATTGGCTGTTGGTAAGTCACAGATGTTGCAATTGGTTTGGTCAAGGTCATAGCGCGATTGCCTCAGTCTTTGGGGGGGGGGGGGGGGGGTTGTCTTTGTTTTTTGTATTTTTTTGCAGGTTTCTAGTTGTTGATATCATAAAAATGCCTGTTACTTGGTTTGTATCCCCAGGTTATGTTTCCTGTACTAAAAATTCTTCTCTCAAGTCATAAGATTGACGAAAGAAAACATGTTTTTAAAAAAGATAGAAAAAAAATGTTTCTCATAACTAAAAAAAAAGGACTTACTGTTCAGAAGCAATTTTGTTATGATCATGACAGTGAGCTTCATACCAAGGAATTTAGGGTGGCTTGCTGTTGACTCATTTTTCAATGTACAAAACAAGCAAATCGATTTTCTTTTCTGTAATTCTTTTTACTTTAATAAAACGTCAATTTAGTGGCACCAATTTACTTTTCTTTTTTACTTTTATGAACGGATTAAAGAAACTGATTGCATCACTGTACTTCTACTAATACAAACAAGCAATCATACCACAAGCATTTTGTTATTTTGTCAAGCAATCATACAAACAAGCATGCTGTTATTTTGTCAAGCAATCATACAAACAAGCATGCTGTTATTGCATCAGTGTGCTTCTATTCAAACAAACAAACAAATTGTTATTCGATCCATTTACATTTCTGTACTCAAATAAACAAATTTTTATACACTGCTTCAATGTGCTTCTGCTCAAACAAACAAACAGATTGCTATTGCATCAATATACATTTCTCTTTTTTCTTCTTTTTTTTTTTATCCTTTGCCCACTTATATGAGATTGACGCCTTCAGATTAGTAGAAAAAAGTGCGTATAATAGTGTCCAATAGTGTATTACGTGCACACTTAGTATAACAAGTAACTGTTACAGCGGAAGGAGATTCCAGGATTATAGATGTGAGTCATTGATTTGAGAGCAGTGATGATTTTAGAAATAATGGTGGTAATAAGTGATGATGTGGGATTGTGTTTAAGTAATGTTAGCATTAGTCCTATCTTCCCCTGCTCCAATGAGTCACGAGTACTGTGGGCACCCTCTATCCTGTTCCCTACTGGAACCATCAATATACACTTTTCTTTACTCAAAGAAACAAATCATTATATTGTATCAATGTGCTTCTTCTCAGACGAACAAACAAACAAACAGCCTAGATTGTGGGTGATTGGTGGGTGCTCTGATGTAGTTTTTTCCTTTTTTCCTATCAAACATCTCACCTATCATCCTTATATCTCTTCTCCTTTTTTATGTTTGTTACTCTCTTGTAACACCTCTAATCTTCGGCACTTATATGACCTTATTGTGTTGCAGTTGGTGCCGTAAAACGCTTATTAAAACTAAACTAAAAGAAACAAATCGTTATATTGCATCAATGTGCTTCTACTGAGACAAACAAACAAGCTTCTTCTTTCCAATCAAGCATCTATCGTCCTTATCTATCCTTCTTCTTTTTTATGTTTGTTACTCTCTTGTAACACCTCTAATCTTCTGGCGCTCATATGACCTTTTGCTGTTGCGAGCGCCGTAAAACCTCTACCAAAACAAACTAAACAAACAAACAAACAGCCTGGATTGTTGTTTATCGCCTACAGGAAAAAGATTTGGTGCACAAACTGTTCAAGGTGTTAGTTCCGAGGTATAGGAACCAGACGTCGTCTTTCACTGACCTTCACAAGCAGGCCGTGGAATACCCGGGACACGGCAATCCTAACGGGGTGCTGGAACTCAGAGGTGAGTGCGGATGGGTGGTTGAAGGATGCCACTGGTGGATTGGGTGGTTGGAGGAGGGTGCCACTGGTAGTATGGGTGGTTGAAGAGTGTCGTGCCTACTCAAACGGAAAGTGGAATATCCACAGAGGAACCGTAATAGGGTGCCAAGTTTTTGGGTTTTTTTATGTTTTTGCTTTTCTATTCGTTTATATCACATTTGAGTTAAATTGGTCTGTAGTAGTTGAATCAAACAGTTTTTAGGCTTTTCTTGTCAAACAAAACTTCCTAAGAGATGGCCCATCTGTGTCTTATTCTATCAATACTTATTTTTCTTCCACTATGGTAAAATCCAAAAGGGTGGGTGGTTGGTGAATGCCCTTGTGTGATACTCTTCTTCCTTCCTATCAAACATCTGTCATCCTTGTCTCTCCTCTTTCTTCTTTTTTGTTTTTGTTGCTCTCTTGTAACACCTCTAAGTTTTTCTTCACTTATCTAATTATGTTACTAGTGCTATAAAACTCTTACTAAAACATAAAACGTACACAAAAACTTCTAAAATGCAGGAAGTCTGTGAATCTATAACTTTCATTTAGTAGGAAAATTATATAACCAGTGTTTCCTCTGCTGTCTTCATTTACAAGTACAAATAACCCTATCCGTACGCCCTGGGGTCATTTTGTACCCCTGGTGTTGTATTTTTCACATTTTAAAATTCTTCTAGTACGAAGATCTATTTCTCAAAAAATCATTTTGACAGACTGCCATGCAGAGCGTACGGATCGGATTAACGAGTAAATTTCCTCTTTGGAAAGTGGTAGCACAGAGTTATCCACGTCGTATGGATACGATAGTAAAACACGGCTTACGGATAGGGTTAAGTATTCACCCCACTCAATTTTAGACCACTGGTGTCTCTTTTGATGTAGGATTCAGGCACTTCACTGTTGCACAAAAAAAGATATGAGTTTAATTCCTGAGTTGGGAGGTCTTTCTTTTTTTTTTCAATTGGGTATTCTTTTTTTTTTTGAATATGTGGATGGTTGGCAGGTGCTCTGGAATGGTTTGCTCCTTCGTTCCTATCAAACATCTATCGTCCTTGTCTTTCCTTCTTTTTTGTGTTTGTTACTCTCTTGTAACACCTGTAGTCTTCGGCACTTATATGACCTTAATGTGTTGCAAGTGCCGTAAAACTCTTACTAAAACTAAAACTAAGTGATCTACATTGGGTCTACATGGCCATAAAACACCTACAATTATATATATATATACTAGCTGGGCCCCCTTTTGATGAAAGGAATGATCGGTGCTTTAATATCAGCTAAAAGTCATTGGCCTACTATATTTTCACTCTACTGGAATGGGGCAATAAATCTTTAGAGATGCAAAAAATTATAAGGTCTAGATCTATACTCTCAAAACAAAATGCGCCTCGCGAAATATCACTTCCGGATTTTCTAAAATTACAGAGACAGAAGCGTCGGCCTACAAAAGCGATCGGCGAAATAAAGAAATTTAGCTTTTTGCAGCAAAACTGTCTCAAAACTGAAAAAACCAAGGGCGTCATGCTCTGGAGAATATTTTAAAAAATCTTTTGGCAAAAACGGCATGTCGATCGATGCAGCCATTAAAAAGCCTTTTGAATAGCAAAATTCGGCCACCACAAATAGATAATAGATATATATATATATATAATTCTTGTATATATAATTCTTGTCCCATCCAGGTAACCCATGGCCGCCAGTTGCCCCACGCAGGAGAGATACGAAATTCCTCCTCTCTAACGTTTTGCTGGCAGCTGCTCGTAAAGATTTCTACGAGTCGAAAAGACAACAAAAGCAACAAGATCTGGCTTCTTCTTCGTCACCGTCATCATCAACTACGCCATTATCATCATCATCAGAAGAGTTCAGTGAAACGACAGAGAGTAATACTGTTGAGGAAGAAGGACATTCTGTTTCATCTTCTGTCGATCCACCTTCGAGTAAGCCTACTACCAATGAGAGATGATGAATCATGCTTATAGTTTGTTTTTTTTTCTTTTTTCTTTGTTTGTTTTTTTTTCTTTTTTCTTTGTTTGTTTTTTTTAAGGTTGACCGTGAGGAGGGGGGAAAGGTATTTTTTCTTTGCTTACCTCAAGCAAGTTGTTGAGTGAATGGAGGAATTTTTTTTTAAAAACTGCAGTGGCATTGTTTTGTTTGATTTTCTTGATGTGGTCTTGTTGTTTTTTTGTAAGTCAGATGAATAAAAATGTGCATTTCTAACTAAGCAATAGGTTGTGTCTACTTCATTCAACTCTGAGAAGATTACATAGAAGGTGATACTGGTGGGCCCAACTTTTTTTCTTTCCCCTCTGTTATTTCTGTCTGTGTGAGTGGTTGGGGGGTGCCATTGGTAAGTCCTACTTTTTTACTTTTTTCACCTCTGTCGTTTCTGTTTGTGTGGGTGGTTGGAGGGCACGGCTGCTAGGTCCTAGTTCTCTTCAGTTCCTACCTGTCCTCCGTTGTTTCTATCTATGTGGGTGGGTGGTTGGCAGGTGTTCTGGTGTAGTTTGCTCCTTTTTTCCTATAAAAAATCTATCGTCTCTATCTCCCCTCCTTCTTTTTTTGTGTTTCTTTTTTCTCTTGTAACATCTCTAATCATTGGCACTTATATTACCTTATTGTGTTGCAAGTGCCGTAAAACTCTTACCAAAACTATACTCTCTTACCAAAACTAAACCATGTGGGTGGTTGGAGGGCACCACAGTTAGCTCTTCCTTCTTTGCTTTTCCCTCTATTGTTTCCTTCTGGCTATCACGCTTTTTTTGTGCACTAAGTGACTGTTACCGTTTCCTTGTGCTCCTTTCTATTGAAACACAAACCACCCTATCCGTACGCCCTGGGGTCATTTGTACCTCCGGGGTTGTATTCTTCACATTTTAGAATATTTTTAGTACAAGGATCTCTTTGAAATTGTCAGTATTTCTCAAAATATCATTTTGACAGACTCCTATGCAAAGCGTACGGATCGGATTAAAGAGTAAATTTCTTCTTTGGAAAGTGGTGGTACAGAGTTCCGCATGTCACATGATGTACGGATAGGGTTAAGGCCGCTACACACCTGCAGTTACGTTAGAATTGTTCGAGTTGAACTGTCGAATAAGCCCGTCAGTTAAAGCGGAACACAATGGTTACCACGCAAGTAGGCGGCAAAACTTTCCCTTGTTGTCATGATGGAACATAGTATACTTATCAAAAACAATAAATAAGGGAAAATAGAATTATTTTAAATAAGCAATAAATCGAGCCGTGTATGTGTAGACTTTGTTTATTTTGACACGCTGAGTTAAAAAATATAATTAATTTTGGGAATGCTTATTTAGGCCACATATGGCCTAAATAAGGTAAGGGAGGGGGGTTTAGCTTATTTAGGCCACAGTGGACTGTGGCCTAAATAAGGTAAGGGAGGGTGGTTTAGCTTATTTAGGCCACACATGTTCAGACTACCCTTTTCAGGCAACTGAGTTCATTCCACTTTCATAATGGTGCCCCTTTCTCATTTAGTATGGTTTTGCCTCAGTGTACAACTTATAAATCATAACCATAATGAATATTGTAAAGAACAAAGCACAAAACGCAAAATTTCGCTCAATTCCAATGGTTTGAATGAGGGCCGGATTTTTCCTTCATGGAGGGGCAAAAGCTAGGCTACCATTTTGGCACACTTTGGTCAAGTGAAAAGGTCAAATCCTCCGAATGGACTTTCGGGTTAAATTTGGGGTATAAAAAGTGTGTATACTACGTGGCTGAGTCAAAGTTACACTATCTTTGCCTGAGTGACACTCTCTCGTACTGTCTCGTAGTAGTACATGTAGGCTAGTAGGCATAGTAGTAGTAGTAGCAAAGATCGTGTAGAGAATATTTGGTAGTAGATTCTATCTAGTAGGCAGTTTAGTGAACGTGCTCGCGGCAGGGCGAATCGGCCTCGATAAGCCCCGTAGACTTTTGTGATCGGCCACGAAGCCTCGTGTTTTGATGGGTCTAGATCTAGATCTAGATCTAAACAACTCAGTGCTATTCGCACTGCCACATCCGACAGGCCTAGATTTACATCTTTTTAAAAGGAAAAGAAAGATCATCAAAATGGTTGAATTCGCATGAAAATCGATTAGGTAGAACTAGAACTATTAAAACTTGCTTCTGAAAACAAGGCAATTTTTATACGAAGGCCATTTTTATAACTCGATGAAATAAAAACTACTGACTGTGTACTGTGTTATTCTGTATAAAAATAATTTATGAAACTTCAGGACGTAGATCTATTATTATTTACCAGCATCTTTTGACGCCTGAGCTGTAGAGGTTGAAGTTTTCACAACACTAATAGATCTAGTAATAGGGTTAGGTAATACGGCTTTCCGTAAAAAATGCATAGATCTACAAAAGCCGACCACCGAATCGACCGGGCGCCTCGGTCTCCCCTGCACTCTGATTCAATATTATATTTAAACAAAAATGCTAATCAATGAAAATTGCAAATTGATAATAATTTGTTAATCTGTAGAGGATAGGTGGACTCCGGGGTCTGCATAGCGAAATACTAGGTTTTAGGATGTGGACCCCGGAGTCACCGTAGTGAAATAAGGTTTGGTTTAAGTAAGGATTGGTACTAGGTTTTAGGACAGGTGGACTCTGGGGTCACCGCAGTGAAATAAGTAGGTTTCTTTAAAGATTGGTGGAACCCAGAGTCACCAAGGCCATAGAGGATTAAGAAGGTTTAATTAAGGATTGGTGGACCCCCGGGACACCTTGATTAAACCTACTTATTTTACTACGGTGACCGCAGGATCCACCTATTCTAAAACCTAACTAGTGTTTCGTTAGGTAGACCCTGGGGTTCACCTTAAACCTACCTATTTCACTACGTTGACTCCAGGGTCCACCAATCCTTAAAATTAAACCTAGATCTATCTACATGTACTTATTTCACTACATTGACCCCGTGGTCCTCCAATCCTTTTTAATTAAACCTATATCTACTTATAATTTCACTACTTTGACCACGGGCTCCGCCAGTCCTATTATAAAATAAACTTAGATCTACTTATTTCATTATGTTGACCCCGGGGTCCACCGATCCTTAGTTAAACCTAGATCTACTTATTTCACTACGCTGACTCCGGGGTTCACATCCTAAAACCTAACATTTTGTTAGGTAGACCCCGGTGTCCACCTATCCTTTTGGCTAGATAGACCCCGTAGTCCGCCTATCCACTTTCTTGATAATAACTGAAAACAATACATGCCAGTTGTCATTTATAGTGAAGAAATATGAGGGGACAAAATATAATTAGGTAGACTTTAATTTGTCCAAAAAATTGCAAGTGCAAGTGAAGATCATAAAATAATTTTGTTATTTTCTGGTCACCTTTCCAAGGACCTTAAATTGATTCTACATCACATGTCATGTACGATACGGCTGTGAAGGAAAATGGATGTGAAGAGTTTTAAAGAGATAATAACGTAACTTGTAAAGAAAACAATGCTTTATGGTTATTTTGACTACATATGTGGCCTAAATAAGGTAAGGGAGGGGGGGTTAGCTTATTCAGGCCACAGGTGTGGCCTAAATAAGGTAAAGGAGGGGGGTTTAGCTTATTTAGGCCACCTGTGGCCCAAATAAGGTAAGGGAGGGGGGTTTAGCTTATTTAGGCCATATGTGGCCTAAATAAGGTCACCCATTAATTTTATAATCAGAATGACATTATTATGTTTTTAACGTGTTAACATAGATGTGGTTTTTTTTTTACAATGGAAAAAGTCAGAAACATTGGGAGGGGGGGGGTGGATCAATTAAGTCAGTGGCTGGCACCTTAAATGGATGCAGGAACCCGTGTGTACCGGTGAATTGTGCGTGCACATCGCAAATAATTTCCCTGGTCTCCCCAGACACTTCCTATAGTCTAACCATAACTTAACAAAAAGCGTGATTTAAAGTGAGGTGAACATGTTTGAGTTGGAATACTTTTTGAGGACCCACTCAAGAATTGGTTTCTTCTTCTATCTACAATGACAAAGAGACTTACAACTGCACACCACATGTGGTCACTTTTAAGCACAAGGGGGCTATCCCGAAAAATGCTGTTTTGAGAAAATTGAATGTAAAGTTTTTGCCCCTTGTTCAGTACCTTTAAAAGACAAGGAGGAGAGTTTTCTCTATAACCAGACATACACACAAACGAAACTCAACTAGTTAGGGCAATGCCCACTTTTAGTGTAGCTCAAGATAAAATTTCTGGATATCCCCTAAATCTGGGTTAGCCCGCTTGTCCTTAATAGCGACCCTGTATTGTAGGTGGAAGCTCTCAAACTCTCTGGCCCTTCAACCAGCATAAAAGAATTAAGAAATTAAACTTCTATTAAATTTTTTTTCAATGAAGTGAATGAAAATGAATAAAAATTTAAGTTTTTTTTAAATAAGAAAAGAAAAATGAATTAATAAAAAAAAACTAAATCAGAAAAAGTCAAGAAAATGAAAATTAAGGTCAAATAAACGATGAAACAGAAACTAAAAGTTAATTAACTAAAAACAAAACAAAAGTGACAATGAAATAAATAAATAGGAAAACAGCACAAAAAAAAGGTTTAAGAAAATATGAACAAATTAATTACAATGCAAAAAAAAAACCCACACAAAAAAACAATTACAACGACAACGCACAATGGCCCCACAAAGTGAGTAAAACTACAAAGGAACACGAAACTCTCAGTTCTGATCGCTGAATATTTTATTGATTTACTTTTAAACCACACTGAGCATTTCAGTTATTTAAAGACTCAATAATGCAATGGTTTATAAACACTGAATAACTTATGATTTAAACTGAACATGTTAATGATTTAAACACTGAACTGGACGATGAAAATAGAAATTGACAAAACTAGATCTATACAAAACTGAGATTTCTTAAGGCACATTCTTTTTACTTTACAAATGATCCGTTTATATATATATAATAATATACATATTGAATATATGAGATAATGATTCTGTTTTATGATTATGAAGTATGTATTTCTTGTTTTATTGGT